AGAAACCGATGGCCACTCAGGATCTCGTACCAGATCCGTATCTCCCCACAACCCACGTGCCCACCGACGGAGTATTTCGACGCAGCTTCCTGCAAACTCGTCAAATGGCCTGAGCTACAAGAAGAAGCGTTTGCCTCCCCCGCTCCAGTCCACCGACTATCACTCGGATGAGTCTTCAGCGAGCGGCAGCCCTCACCCCCGGAGCTCCAAGCTACGGAATCTCTCGACGCCCGCCACTGCCGAGTCAAACATGTCACCTGCCAAAATTGCGCCACACAAGAAACATCTTGACGCTCACGGCCAAACGTTCCTCGCTAGAGCTTGTGCCAGGGGCGAGTACGACATTGCAAAGCAACGACTCGGTGAGCGACCCGAGGACCTCAATGTTGCCGATTATGCGGGAAACACGCCACTTCAAATCGCCGCAATTAATGGGTACGAGGATATTGTGAAGCTTCTCATCGACGCTGGATGCAACCTGGATTGTGTGAATTATGACAAGGACACACCATTGCTCGACGCTGTTGATAATGGCCACCTCGGAGTCGTGAAGCTCTTACTGAACGCGGGTGTCAACCCGCGGAAAGCCAACGTGAGCGGCGAGGAACCTCTCGACAGAGTCAGCGACGACCTGGACAATGCAGCCGATTTTCGTGCCGCACTCATCGAGGCAAAGTCTAGACAAGGCGAACGACGACGCACATCTGAGGACCATCATTCTGTCGACCACCAGGATGCTCGGTCATCACTCGGCCCCGATAGCCCGCGACGGTCACCTGCCCCTTCTTCATCTCACGCCAGCGGTCGGCGGGCCGGTACTGTGAGGGCCACCAAAACCAGCAACTACTTATTGTACATGTCCCTCGATGATAAGACACTTCGGCAGGCAGCCGCTAAGGGCGACGAGGAGACTGTTACAAGAATCCTCCAGGTAAAGGATGGTTGCGACGATTCCGAAGCGATGGTAGCGGCTGCCAGAGGTGGGCACGAAGTAGTTATTCAGCTACTTTTGGCATTGGGTGGCGCAAACCCAGACCCTGCACCGGTGCAAAGTACCAATATGCCGTCAGAGTTCGCGACACCTATGCTAGCCGCGATAGGCCAGGAGAACATCAAGGTGGTTAGGTTGCTCTTGGACCAGGCAAACTTTGATCCCACACGTCGATTCAAGGGAGAAACCTACTACGAGATCGCGCGACGCCGACAAGGCACAAATTGGAAAGACGAGGAGCACATGCTCAAGGAAGCTTACGATGCGTACAGGAAGTCGCATCGTGATATTTCCAAGACCAAGTCTCCGAACAGACGGGAGCGTGAGAGAGAACGGGAGCGGGAGCGTGAGCGTGACCGAGACCAAGACCGGGAAACCAAGCGCCAGGGCCGCAATGAACTCAAAGACGAAGCCCGAGCGCACAAGCGCAACCTTTCTAGCCCTTCACGCGACCCGGAGAGTCGGAAGAAAATCTCAGCGAATCGTAACGTCACCAGTCCAAAGGAAAAGCGTCGGTCTGATTCATTTCACGACGACCAGACATCACCCAAGCGCGGCCCTGGCCGGCCTAGAAAAGAAGACCGTGTTCCGACCATTGCAGTTTCTGACAGAGAAGCATCACCTGCGCTGTCACAAAAGCAATCCGCCAAAGCTGCGAAGCGCGCCGAGTCTGACGTTGCTGCCATGTCGTCGGAAGGGGAGGCTGTCAAGCCGCGGAGGAAACTCATTTCTAAGGGCGAGCTTCGCGGCGAAAGGGAAAAAAACCGCCGCGCTAGCATGGTTTCGACCACCTCTGCTCTGAAGGACCCCTCAAGCCCACGCGATCCGAAACACGACGACCATCCCGAGAAGCCGAAGGGCGAACCCTTGTCAGAGAAGTACCACGATCGTACAAAGGCCCTCAAGAGGGACGAGTCTAGGGATCGACTCTCTGTTTCCGGCGATCATTCTGCTAAGCGGCACCGATCAAGCGTCACGCCGCCGCACTCGAGCACTGGGGAGAAGGAGGATGGCGAGGTGCCGACGAAGAGGCGGCGGCTCGATGTGGATGGCAAGGAACGCCGGCCGAAGTCGACAGCATCGCCAGACGACCCGCACAGGCTATCGCGTGAAGCACCTCCTCGATCGAAATCGAATCTCAGGGACCACGATGACAGCGACCGCAGGCCCCATAAGAGCAAGTCAGATTCTGACGGGCACAGGAGGGAATCCGGAAAGTCCAGCAACAGTGATAAGTCGAGCATACACGTTAAGTCTGAAGATGTCGATATCGAAATGCCAGACGCATCAGATGTTAAGGATGTCGAGGAGCCGGAAATTCGTGTGAAGAAGGAACGTGGCGATGACGACAAGAGACGCCAAGAGGAGAAGGAAAGACGCCGTGAGGAAAAGCGACAAGAGGAGCGGAAGCGCCGTGAGGCTGAAGCCGAGGAAGCACGCAAGAAGGAGGAAGAGCGGCGACAGCGTGAAGCTGAGGAGAAGAAGCGGGAGGCCGAGCAGAATAGACGCGAGGCTGAACAAAAGGAGCGAGAGGCCGAGGAAAAACGACTGAAGGAGGAAGAGGAGGCTAAGCAGCGCGAGGAGGAGCGCAAACGCAAGGCCGAACTCGAGAGAAAGCGTCAGGAGGAAGAACAGAGACAACGCCGGGAGGCAGAGGAGAAGAAGAGGCGCGAAGAGGAGGAAAGACGCCTACGCGAGGAAGAGGAGAAGAAACGCCGCGAAGAGGAAGAACGCAAACGAAAGGAAGAAGAGGCCCGGAAGCAGCGTGAGGAGGAGGAGAGGCTTCGCAAAGAACAACTTGAGCGCGAAGCTGCAGAGGAAGCCCGCCGTCTCCGTGAGGAGGAAGAGCGCAAGGAACGCGAGCGCAAGGAGCGTCAACAGCGTGAGGAGATGGAGCGCAAGCGTGCGGCTAAGGAAGCCGAGCAGCGCAGAATCCAGCAAGAACAAGAACGTCTGCGACTTGCGAAGCTTCCTCCTCTCCTCCGTTGGCTCGACGGTTGTTCGAACCCCAAGACTCCTGAGCTGGCGGCCAAATTCAAGCACATGCAGGGTGTGCGGTTCGACACCATCCGCCCACAGGCCACAGGCTCGCCCGATGGCAGAGAGCAATGGATACTCAACACTCATGCCGCTTTGCTTCTCGGCGAGAAAGACCTGACTTTGTCGAGATGTACGTATCCCACTCACGTCTTGATGTACTTCACTCACTAACAAACTCTAGATACCGCTTGGGAACATATTCCTGTCTCCGATCTTGCCAAGAAAGTTATCTGGAGACTCGAAGCTGACCGGTACGCTTTGATTACCGACAGTCTCTACGAGCTCGGCACTGGTCTACCAGACTACTACGGCGAAGGCCAGGACCCTTTCAAGATGAATTATCGTCTCAAGGAAAAGCTTCGCGGAGAGGCCCGGGAGAAGTTTTTGAAGTTGGACATGTTCTTTGTCAAGGTAAGGGACTCGTTCAGGTAGTTACTTTGCACGATGCTAACGCCATCCTAGCTATCTGACTTGATGTTCATTGTACCAAACGTTCCTCACCTCCGGAGTCTGAAACTCAGCGTCGAGTACCGCGAACTTCCCGAAGATGAGGCCCAGTTGTACGGATGGAAAGTACCGCAAAAGTGGAAGCAAGACCCTGATGCAGACCGGTTCTACGGTTTTGCGCCGAGGAACAAGTACTACGTCGACGGTATCATGGTCGAGGAGCAGAAGCCTGGACTGTCTGCGACAAGCAGCACACCTTTCCCCGAGAAGCGGGCCCCTCGCAAGGGACTGCAGCAGATCTTTCCTGGCGACCCAGATTATGCTCGCCTTTGCAAAGAGCAAGGGCTGGAGCACCTCTTGAACGGCACCAAAACCCCGGCGCTACCCAACGGCGGACATCTTTCGCCGAGGAGTCAGTCGAATGCTACCGAGACATCGGCTGAACCCGTCAATGGCACCCAAACCGCTTCTTCTGCGCCCGCGCCTCTGTTTATCGAGGCGAGACCTCTCCCCAACGGTGTCAACGGCGTTTCGACGTCAGGATCCAGCTAAGCTGGGTTCATCTTCGCGAAATAGAGTAACGGGTCACACTTACTTAATATACGAATGCAACCTGTCCTGTCGCAAAAACCATCCCCGGTGACGATATGGACCAGCATAACTGCCGAGAGGAACCCTAGACGGAGCTTCCAATCACAATTCAGGGCGACACCTAAGCCGGCTGCCTCCAGTTGGGGTTTTCTACATGTTATGAACAGAGATAAACAGTGCTCGGCTATATTTCACCTAGCCGAATGGACGGCAAGAGGATTCTTTGCGGATCAGTCTGCAACAGTACAGACTGCAATGCCACTAGCTTCAGTTGCTTTTGGATGACGGCTACAATTCAACGCGACCAACCCCTTTTACCAGTATCATATAACGGAAAAAAAGGAAACCAGACCTGCAGTGGGCGGTCTGTGCGATTCATGGGTCGGAGGGTATGGAATGATGGGTCGGGTTTCCAGGCGAGACGTAGATAATGAAACAAACTGTTCAAAAAACAAATGGAATATCTCATGTGATCTTTCATCTGCTGTCGCAAACCCGAAGCAGATTGAAACTGATGATAAAACTCCGCGAAAAAGGAAAATACGCAGGGAATAAAGATTTTCCTATGACTCGAGTCGTGAGTGTGAGGCCCAGACACTGACATCACCGACGTAAGAGAGATTGGCCCAAAGAAAGCCCAAGAAAAAAACCGGCCGGCAAAACCTGCGCCCCGCCAAAACTTTGACACCGCCCTCGAAAACCCCCGCCATTTGCCCACAACGATCGCACTGCCATCACCAAAGGACCTGAACAGGGCTGCAGCAGCAAACCGAACGAAAACGCCCCTCGTCATTGCGACCGAACGGCGACGACGACAAACACGACGACGGCGGGACGTACATTTAGGGCCCGATAGACAAAGCAGCCAACGGCGGCTGATACGACCTGATTTTGGAAACACACGTAGAGCGAGTCTGGGAATACCGTCATCATGTCGACGACGGTGGACAAGGTATGCGCCAACACCATAGCTAATCCCCGTCTATGAACACATTGAGAGAGGTCATGATTAAATGCTAATGCGACTTTTGTGTGTGTGCAGATCAAAGAGATCGAGGCCGAAGTACGTTCCAACTTCCCCCACCCCCCCTCCACCCCACGATCGATACGTTGCCCTCATGGCCTACACATGCGTCGAATCCGAGGAAACGATTTCATCCCCGAGGCGCATCGCGATCACAATCACATCTGAACCTCCACCGCAGCCAAAGCTCATCCACCCAAATCGAAACCATGATGCCGTCCTCATGGACGGATGACCAGCAGCAGGGACTGACAGTGCAACACAACAGATGGCCAAGACTCAAAAGAACAAAGCCACATCCTTTCACTTGGGCCAGCTCAAGGCGAAGCTCGCCAAGCTCAAGCGCGAATTGCTGACCCCGTCGAGCGGCGGTGGTGGCGGTGGTACCGGCTTCGACGTAGCGCGTACGGGTGTCGCCAGTATCGGCTTCATCGGCTTCCCCTCGGTCGGAAAGAGTACGCTCATGAGCAGGCTGACGGGCCAGCACTCCGAGGCTGCCGCGTACGAGTTCACGACACTTACCTCCGTACCGGGTCAGGTTACCTACAACGGTACGTCGTCTCTGCTGGCGGCTTCATTGCGCCGAGGGCAGGCCCCAACGACTCCCCTCCAAATCAAGGTACTAACGCATCACAGGTGCTCCTCTTCAAATCATCGATTTGCCCGGTATTATCGAGGGAGCAAAGGACGGTCGTGGACGTGGTCGTCAGGTCATTGCCGTGGCCAAGACGTGCCATCTCATCTTCATCGTGCTGGACGTCAACAAGCCCCTGACAGACAAGCGCGTCATTGAGACGGAACTCGAGGGCTTCGGTATCCGCATCAACAAGTCGCCTCCGAACATCACCTTCAAGAAGAAGGAAAAGGGCGGTCTCAACATCACCAGTACGGTGCCCTTAACGCACATCGACCACGACGAGATCAAGGCGGTCATGAACGAATACCGTATCAACTCTGCCGATATCGCCATCCGATGCGACGCCACCATTGACGACCTCATCGACATCCTCGAGGCCAAGAGCCGTAGTTACATCCCCGTCATCTACGTCCTCAACAAAATCGACGCCATCAGTATCGAGGAACTCGACCTGCTGTACCGTATTCCAAATGCCGTACCAATCAGTTCCGAGCACGGTTGGAATATTGACGAGTTGATGGAGGCTATGTAAGGATTCCCTGTATGATCCTCGCCCGGATAGTGCCCCGGCGGCACAATCAGCGGCGGCAGGGATCTCCCCAAACTCCAAAGGCTGGCGCGGCGCAATGGCTAACAAACCCCGTTTCGCGTGTAGGTGGGAGAAGCTGAACCTGGTTCGCGTATACACGAAGCCCAAGGGCCGCTTACCCGACTATTCCCAGCCCGTCGTCCTTCGGTCGAACCGGTGCACAGTGGAAGACTTTGTGAGCAGTGACCCGTCAGGGGGAAACCCCACGAGCAGCATTCCCGTCCGGGAGAAGGTCGATAGCGTTCTCTGGTACTGACGAAATTTCCAGTGTAACCAAATCCACAGAAGCATTCTGGAGCAGTTCAAGACGGCCGTTGTGTATGGCAAGTCTGTCAAGCATCAGCCTCAACGCGTCGGTCTGGCCCACGAGCTAGCTGACGAAGATATCGGTACGGCTGTGCCCCTTTACCCTGCGTTGGAGAACAAGCCGCATCCTTGTTCGGCGAGACGCTGGAGGAAGCAAACAATGCTAACAATCGATCACCTGCAGTTACAATCGTCAAGCGCTGATCAAGACGGCAACGAGAACAATCGCGCACGACAACCATTGTCGTCAAGCCCATTCCCGGCCGGAGGTGCCGACGGCGTTGGTGGGAAAGCCACTTGCCTCTTTCCTCTCCAGAGAAGAAAACACCATCTGGACCCTGAGGTCCTCTTTTGCTCGCGCGATCTCACTCGACTCCCGACACCATGGGATCGTGGACGAAACTCAAAATTTCCAACAAACTAGTGGCATGTACTAACAACACGCGGGCGTACCGGAAAAGCCGGGACACGGGCTACCAATTGCAACTTTGAAGCTTCAGTCAAATCAGGGCAGGGCTGAACGGCCTGCGGCGTATGGGCGCGACCGCAAACAGTCAGTCTTTGACAGCGGCGCCAAGGGCATCTCACCTTGCGGCCGAGATGGGAGGCACGTTTGGGTCAGGCAAAAAATGTCGTTCTAGCATCATAGAATACCAAGAGAATTGAATGAAAAAGGGGGCCGGAGACCTGGCTTGCGGAATGAGTGTCTCAGTTGAAACGGCGTCTGGCGGATAACGTCTCCATATTTTCCAAGTCTCCTGAGAGGAATCTTGAACTGCCATGCGTGTGTCGCAGTCACACATGGCGTCGTTCGTCGGGCAACGTGCCGTCTCTCAAGCAGGCTTTTTCTTTGGCCGTCGCGGACAGCCCTGCATCCACCGCCCTCATTGTTCGGCGTTGTCGTGGCTCTCGCATGCGACGCCGTCTCACCCATCGCGATTATGACGCAGGCGGTGGTGCTTCAAGATGATGGACAACGGTTTCTACCCCACATGCGCCACCATCTGAAGTTGCGGTCCAAAAGGTTGAAGCAAATCGTGGACGACATGCATAGCCGAGGGCCTCTCGTTCTGCGGCCGAAAGTTTCCCAGCAGAAGCGTGGGATGCATGCTCTGGTGTCTGCGAGAGGGCAGCACATGGCCGCCGCCGCCATGCTTCTCTGCAAAGGCTCCGCGGGAGAGGGTGGGAAGAAAAGTTGCACGCAGAGTGCAGTCCGCAGCAGTATGCAGCTTCCGTAGCGCACATCCGTCCTCTGATGCATGGGTTGACAGGCCGGGTATGGATAAGCATGGGCGGGTGTGTGGGTGAGCGGACTGGGGGCTTCCCTGGATCGAGGGAACGTCGGCGCTTAAACCAGAGCTAGAGCTAAGACGACACCCTTTTCTCCTCTGTCCGCACGCTCGACACTCCCGCCATTGCTGGCTGACTGTGTCTTGGAGTACAGACGCTCTGCACCACTGGCGCGATGCATTTCACTGCAATTCCCCGATGAGCGAGAAAAAACGTGCCCGACGAAACGGCGGCGGCGGCTCAGGACTCGTGCTGGTCGAAACAAAAAGAGGGGTGCCGCTCACGCAGCTAGTCAGGCGCAATTCCTTTCCACCCCTCTTACGCCCACCTTTCACAAGGCTCGCTTTGCCGCCCATGTTCAGTCCTCGCGGAGTCCCGGGTTTTGTTTGCGCTGAGCAGTGGTGCTAGCGGTGGGTCGGCCGCGGTCCTCTCAAGCCGTGATCTCATCTCATCTCATCTTGTGAGTGAAAGAAGAGCGACGAGGATTGCTAGGAGCTAGGTCCGCGATATGCGACGAAAGCGAAGGAGGGCCGTTGCGGAGCATGGTAGCAATAGGACCGCGTACGATCTTGGCCTCTCATCTGGAGATTGTCTGAATAGTTGAGCGCATTCGTACCTTGCATCGAATCGAACGTAAATGAGGCGAACGAAGGGCGAGAGGACACAGACCACGGGAGAACGGCTGCAGGGAAGGGAAGACAGGCGCAGGGGCAACACAGACGGCCGCGGCGGATGCTGCGCTGCAATGTTGCTCGTGCTCTCCAGGTCCCCTGCTTCCTCCAAGGCGTAATCTGCTCCGTCTACTTCCAGCGGGATTGGGGGAGCTCGGGAGCGACCCAGCTGCACTCCACCGGATGCCCTGGCCAGCAGCTCTTTTACTGCTTGTGGCGGCTGTCGGGTGTATGGTTGCTCGAGGGCAAAGTTGAGACTAAACGTGCCGTGTGTGCATGCATACTAAGCATATTCCAAGGGGCTAGATGCAGTCTCTTGGGAACAGGATGGTGTACCGAGTTGCCTGCCCGAACTCCAGTAGCTTGAACGCTCCCCTCGAGCAATCGGTCGGCGTTTTGGTTGCCATCGGGGGCAGGAGGGAGAGTGTGATATGCTGTCATCCTGCGCTGGGGAAGCCCTGGTGTCAATACTGCAGCTCCTAACATTTGATTGTCGCGAGGCTGGGGCGACAGCTTATTGATCCTGTGTGTCCTCGTCACGGCCGCGTTGTAAGCAGCGGCTGGCCGTCGCCAAAAAGGCACTAACACAACGCCGGGATGGGCCCCCAGATTCCTGCCCGTATCTGGTCTCCTCCGCATCGCGATTGGTCCAGATCGAAGCACGACGCCACATTCTGAGATGGCCTCCGTCGCCTCCAAAGTGGACGGTCCTCAGCTTGGTGAGCGGGCGGGTGAGAAATTGAACCTCGACAGACTGGAGCACGCTGAGACCCCAGAAGGCTTTCGCTACCTCTTCGGTTCATCCCCCGCCTGGCCCATTGACTTTATGCATGTTACCCGTTCAACATCCTGAAATGAGACGTCTCTTTTACCGTGACGGACGCGAGGTCTGTGCCTGCCGAGCGATCAGACACTGGCCCGGCTGAGTGTTGGAGGCAAGTGACATATACGCTAGGATACCTCCGGAAGGGCCCGCTCGAAATTGAGAACGGCGCACGTTGCGGGCCAACGCGGGCGGATGCTGGTCGACCCTGGATCGAGCATGGCCTATGCCCCAATCGCAATAGTACGCCGCATGTCGCTCCCCAAGGACGAAGCCTCCCTCGTGCCGTGATGTTGAGGCTTGGCCAGGCCCTTCATCCTCCAGGACCGCCTTTGGCAAGCAGCGATGGTCCAAATCTGCCCAGGATTTTCTCGTATGCGGCGAGCTGACCAACTGGAAGCCAGGCCGGCCTACAGGATGGCTTCACTAGGGCCGCCTCACGCGCAAAAGAATCTTTTCTGTCCAATGATGAGAAGAAAGACGTCGTGATGAATCCGGAATTTATGTCCAATGAAAACTCCGAAAACGTTGCGAGAGCTGCTGTTGGTCGACGGCCGACCTTCAGTTTCGACGGCCCCAGGCTTGTATGGCGACGCTGCCGGTCTTCTGACCGACATCTGGAATCGGGTGACCTCATGGAGGCAGTTCTCAAAGTAACCATGCTGGTGGACACTGAGTATTGGGTAAAAAAGGAAGCCTGCGAGATTGGGGGTTTGACGGTGTGAACGAATCGACCGGGTGTCGGCCAACATACCCTGGAGGTCCCCTTTTGGTCCGAGAAAAGTTTTATAGGCCCGTCCCATGATGAGCTAGCCAGATCTATCAAACTGTATCGCAGCTCTTGGCCAGCCCCATGATGATTTGAAAATTCGGGCTGGTTGGAGCGGACCACTTGTTGGACGGCATGGGCCGACATCTAAGCGACCGCGGCGAGTCTTGATCAAGAGCATGACGTTCAGCGTTGTTGGAAGTAGGAAGCAGACCCCATCTCGGTGGCCAGCTCGTCGCTTGGCCCAACGAGGAGCCAAAGCAATTCAATTGCGGTCCACGATGAATGTGACGGTGGTGGATGTTTAGCCCACGGGAGCAAAAGACGTTGCGACAAGGCCCTGTCATTGTCGGAGACGGTCTTCGTGATGCCATGGTGGATGCGTCAGGGTAGTTCTAGTCGGGAGTAGTGTACCGCAGGCTTCAGCCCAATATCGGGCAGCAGCAATGCTTAATGGAATGCCGTTGACGTCGGCATATCAAACCAAGATTGAGGATCAAAGCGCCTGTCGCAGCTTGGCTCGTTTTACGTTGGAGCTTTGTCGGGATTTTTGGCGGTCGGTTGGTGTGTTGAATGGGGATGAATGAAGGAATCAGACCAGGTTAGGGCGTCCCCGCCGCGATATGCATTGATCGTCATGGACTGCCGCGACCGTTTATGCTGGATTCGCAGGCACGAGTCGATTTGGCCGAGGCTGACAAAATAGTACGCTATTTTGATTCCTGCTGACAAGAAGTGACAGAAGTTTGAAGGGCGATAGCAGTGCGTGAAGCAGCGGCCGGCATCCGCAAGAGGTTACAGGTCTATCAAAACACCCCCCCTCACGCCCCTCCAATGTTTGAATGGTTCTCTCGGACGGCTGAGGAGGGTGGGACGTCTGGGGGGGCCACCCTGGGCTTGCCAGGATGGGTCAGGTCGCCGAAAAGCCCTTTCTCAAAGTATCAGTCGATCGCTTGACAGGTTTGACGGACCGGAGAAAAGCAGCAACCATAGCATGTAAGTACTTAGCTGGTTGGAAGCAGACAAGGCAAGGCTAGGGCGCAACGGGCGCGGCTCGGATTTTGGAATTGAATTGGAGCAGGTCGCGAGTAACGCAGTACTGTGTAGAGGGGACTCAGGAGGGCCGAGTTGTGGGCGTCGTCGTCTGGCGTCAAAGTAACTGACATGGATGAGGTACTTGACGGTGTTTAATTCGCGCTTCTCGTCATCTCGTATCGGTTGAGGACGGACTGCGATTCGAGTCGAGTCAATGACGAATAGTCGGTCAGAGCATCAGAAAGCATCAGATGACGAGGTTGGGTGGATGTGTTCTCTCGCGAAGTACCTCAGCTCGCTCGTGGAGGCAGTTGCAAAGTCGCAAAGGTCGAGTCTTCATGAGTCGCAACGGGGTGCGGATTGGGCACCGATGGCCCTATGGGAGTCGAGGAAGGGACCGCAACCCCTCAATCACTGGGGGCGATTGGGGTTGTTGAAGCTGGGCCTGTGTCTTGCTGTCTGAACTCTGCGCGTCTTCAGGCCCGTCTTTGATTGTCATTCGGGGAAGGTACGGAGTTGCGGACGGAGCACTGCGGTACAAAGTGGAGCCGATGCTTAGTTTAGTAGGTAAGGAAGGCAGGTACCTCGTGCCTCGCACCATGCTAAGTACCTCCCC